GAAGAAGTCAATGTATTTCTATTTGCAGATGATATGATCTTATACACAGAAAACCCCAAAGAATCCACAAGAAAACTACTGGAACGAATAGAAGATTTCACCAATGTATCAGGATACAAGATAAACATACAAAAATCAGCTGGATTCCTCTACACCAACAAAGAGAACTTCGAAGAGGAAATCACCAAATCAATATCATCTACAATAGCCCCCAAGAAGATAAAATACTTAGGAATAAACCTACCCAGAGACGTAAAAGACCTATACAATGAAAACTACAAGGCACTACTGCAAGAAACCAAGAGAGACCTGCATAAGTGGACAAAGATACCTTGCTCATGGACAGGAAGACTCAACATTGTGAAAACGTCAATTCTACCCAAAGCGATCTACAGATAAATGCAATCCCAATCCAAATTCCAACGGCATTTTTTAATGAGATGGAGAAACAAATCACCAACTTCGTATGGAAAGGGAAGGGGCCCCGGATAAGTAAAGCATTACTCAAGAAGAAGAACAAAGTGGGAGGCCTCACACTATCTGATTTTAGAACCTCTTATACCGCCACAGTAGTCAAAACAGCCTGGTAGTGGTACAACAACAGATACATAGACCAGTGGGACAGAATTGAGAATCCAGACATAAATTCATCTACCTATGGCAGCTGATATTTAACAAAGGCCCAAAGTCCATTAATTGGGGAAAAGAGAGTCTCTTTAACAAATCATGGTGGCATAACTTGATATCCACCTGCAGAAATCTGAAACAAGACCCATACCTCACACCATGCACAAAAACTAACTCAAAATGGATCAAAGACCTAAATATAAAATAAAAAATGATAAAGATCATGGGAAAAAAAAAAACATGGATGATGCTAGGAGCCCCAATACATGGCATAAACAGAATACAAACCATAAATAAAAATGCGCAAACACGAGAAGAGAAACTAGATAACTGGGAGCTCCTAAAAATCAAAAGCTCGTCAAAAGACTTCACCAAAAGAGGAAAAAGACAACCTACAAACTGGGAAAAAATTATTGGCTATGACAAATTCGATCAGCATCTAATCTCTAAAATCTATCAGATACTGCAAAACCTCAACAACAAAAAGACAAATAACCCAATTAAAAAACAGGCAAAGGATATGAACAGGCACTTCACCAAAGAAGACATTCAGGTGGCTAACAGATACATGAAGAAATGCTCACAATTATTAGCCATTAGAGAAACGCAAATCAAAACTACAATGAGATACCATCTCACCCCAACAAGGGTAGCCTTAATCCAAAAGACAAAAATAATAAATGCTGGAGAGGTTGTAGAGAGACTGGAACACTTATACACTGTTGGTGGGCATGTAAAATGGTACAACCACTTTGGAAATCGATGTGGCGCTTCCTTAAAATGCTAGAAATAGAAGTACCATATGATCCAGCAATCCCGCTCCTTGGAATATATCCTAGAGAAATAAGAGCCATCATATGAATAGATATATGCACACCTATGTTCATTGCAGCACTGTTCACGATAGCAAAAAGACGGGAACAATCTAGGTACCCATCAACGGACGAATGGATAAACAAATTATAGTATATTCACACAATGAAATACTATGCAACAATAAAGAACAATGATGAATCCGTGAAACATAACATGGAGGAATCTGGAAGGCATTATGCTGCGTGAATTTAGTCAGTCACAAAAGGTCAAATATTGTGTAAGACCACTATTATAAGAACTCAAGAAAAGGTTTAAACACAGAAGAAAACATTCTTTGATGGTTACGAGGGTGGGGAGGGAGGCGAGGGGTATTCACTAACTAGATAGTGGAGAAGAATTATCTTAGGTGAAGGGAAGGACAGCACACACTACAGGGAAAGTCAGCACAACTGGACTAAACCAAAGCTAAGAAGTTTTCTAAATACAACCAAACACTTCGAGGGACAGAGTAGCAGGGGCAGAGGTCTGGGGACCATGCCTTCAGGGGACATCTAAGTCGATTGGCATAACAAAGTTTATTAAGAAAATGTTCTACATCCTAGTTTGGTGAGTGGTGTCTGGGGTCTTAAAAGCTAGTGAGTGGCCATTTAAGATGCACCAATTGGTCCCAACCCACCTGGAGTAAAGGATAATGAAGAACACCAAAGTCACAAGGAAGGTATTAGCTCAAGAGACAGAAAGGGCCACATAAACCAGAGATGGCATCAGCCCGAGAGCGGAACTAAATGGTGCTTGGCTACCACCAATGACCGCCCTGACAGGAAACACAACAGAAGAGTCCCTGAAGGAATAGGAGAAATGTGGGGTGCAGAACTCAAATTCTAGTAAAAAGACCAGACTTAATGGTCTGAGACTGGAGGAACCCCACAAAGAATGGCCCCTGGACTCTCTTTCAACCCAGCACTAAAACCATTCCCAAGGCGAACTCTTCAAAGATTAGACTGGACTTTGGGGTATAAAATGATACTCATGGAGAGCCTGTTTCTTAGCTCTAGTAGATACATAAGACTAAATAGGCAGCTCCTATCTGGAGGTGAGATAAGAAGGCAGAGAGGGTCAGGAGCTGGTTGAATGGACACGGGAAATTGGGTGGAAAGGAGGAGTGAGCTGTCACAGTAGGGAAAGAATTAGGTCACATAACAATGTATGTATAAATTCTTCTATGAGAGACTAACTTGAACTGTAAACTTCCACTTAAAGTACAATAAAAAAAACCAAAAAACGACATCTGCTTAGGATCTATCAGAGTTCCATTACCAGCTTTGACTATTTCAGTTCTCGCTGTGGTTGTTGTTAGCTACCATCAAGTCAGCTCCAACTCATGGCAACCCCATGCAGAGTGGAAGAAAACACTGCTGGGCCCTGGGCCATCCCTGTGTTCAGTTATAGATCTGACCAATGTGATCCGTAGGGTTTCACTGGCTAATTTTCAGAAGTTGATTGCCAGTTCTAATCTTCGTAGCTCCTCTTAGTCTGGAAGCTCTGCTGAAACCTGTTCTGCATCATAGAAATTCTTAGGCTTCTCCAAAATGGCAGTTATGGAAACGACCGAGAACTGTTTTTATAGGTTAAGTATTGAGTGAAATACAAAATGGCAGATTTTAGGAAAAAGTCATAGACACACAGAAATCTTACTGTACTCCTTTTTTTATTTTTATGTTTTTATTTATATTAGGATATTGTACAATTCTCAAGGCTAGTAACAATCTTTTTAATATGTGTATTTAAAGCATAACAAAATAAAAGTATTTCACAAAGAAGTCCATATTACAGTACTATTGAAATATGAGGCATAGAATAATTATGCATTTGTGGGTTATAAACATAATACATTCATTTTAAAGAATAAACATTTAATGTGAATAACATTTTGGTTAAAATAAATATCACGGTAAATGTTAACAGCAACACCTGAAGTCTATGGATACAAGAAAGGTGTTTTGTGATAGATACTAGCAGAGTGGAAAAGCATTCATGAAATGGCTGTAATAGCTTACTAAATTTACAATAATTGCACACTGCTGAGCACTTTATTTATATAGGGATACACTTCATCCACCATTCCTAAACCTCCACATACAGAACAAAGTCATCCCACATTTTTCTATGGGTAACTGGTACCAATGTCAAGATAAGGTTTAGAATCAGATGTACCTTTGATATTACTGTTTGTAAAATCAATTCAAATGTTTAACTTAATTAAGACAATGTTTACTTAGAAATATAAAAAGAGTATTTTATAGGTGATTAAAAAATTAGAACTTCTAATCATCTTCATAATTGTTTGAAATGATCCCATTCAAAATTAAAACTTAGTTTTTACACAGTGGTTTCTTCAGAAAAAACAAAAAAAAAATGAACACTTACATTAAAAAATCCAAAACATTTCCACATGTAGAACATAAGGGGTTTCACTGATCATTAAATTCTTCCCAGCTATTTCCTTCTAGCCAACAGATTCACTGAAAAGTAAAGCTTAAAAGTCACTGTGAGCGGTTAAGCTAATGAATTTTAGATCCATGTATTCCTAAAGATTGCAAGAAAAAGGAGAGTATCTCTGTAAACTATAGGACACTTCATCCTAACCAATTTTATTAACTTAAAATGAACTTAACATTAATGTTCAACAAAAACAAAAACAATTCTACTCACACTTCTGGAGAGAAGTATGTGGATATTCAATGTAAAGGTTTTAAGTCATCAGAGTCTGGGAAAAATTACGCATTAAGGCATCAAATATGGGACCAACCGGGTTTGCCTATCCCAAGATAAAACTACCCTTCAGAAATCATACATAACTGATTAAAGTTTGAAAAAAAACATGAGTTTACACTTTTTTGCCCTTTATACATTTTTCAAGTTTACAAATGACTTGAAAGTATTCAAATGATTGTAAGAAAAACACTTTAAAAAAAAAAAAAATGACAGTGCTATCGGCTAAGGGTAGATGTTCTCTGAACATGAGGTTTCCATGTTGCTGGGATGATCGATCCCAAGGTTGTATGGTGGCACGGCGTCCTTTAACGGTGACTGCCACTCAGGCCTTTGGCTTCACGATCTGTGAGGAACTGGTCATCACTAACATGAAGACATTCAGGGATAAGACATCTCCACAACAGCATTTATTCAACTCTATTTCCTTAAACTAAATAAAGCGTTACCATCTTTGTACTTAGTTTAAAAGCTTCTCAACAGAAATGTTAATCCCATAAAAATTCTCGCTGTAGCAATGGCCAGTTTTCATTTTTTAAACCATATTCTAATATTATAAGTTTGTCAAACAAATTGAAACTGTATCAACATTCATGGGTATGGCACAACATACATCCTTTCTTCCTCTCTAACAAGATGAAATGCACACATACAGGGTGGCCCAAATTTTAAAAAGTTAAAAAATGTTTTCAATTCAAGAAAAGTATCGGTATACCAAGTATCTTTTAAAACGGTATTGTGTTCTCAGAAAATCTGAAATATTAATGGATAAAATGTACTCACAACATAAATAAGAAAAGTAACCTGAAGAATATAAAAAATTTCTGAAGGGAACCAATCAGAACTTCCATAAAATCTATGAATAAAAACATATGCTTACACTATAGCATACAATTATGAATTTAACTGCATTTAAATTTATAAAGAAATTGAAATATAGTACTGCAAGATAACTCAAAGAATATTTTTCAAATGTACAAACAATAATAAAAACACACACACAAAAAAAGCTTTGGGTAATGTGCAACTTTAAAAATTACTATCACACCAGCCAAACAAATCCTTAACCACTTTTTAAATGGATTCATTTATACCATCTTACTGCAAAGAGAATATCAAAGATATTAAAACAAATCTTCAGTGTCTGACTCACATTTTGCCCCCAAACCTTTTCACATTTAACAGCTGCATTTTCAATGTGTAAGCTAAGAATTTTAAATTTTAAGCTCAAATAGTTTATGTCTACATTTATCTTAAGAATTATATTTGAAAACTACAATGCTAAGAACTAAAACACATACTTCAGATGTTTAAAAATAAAATAATCACGAAAGTTCACAATTGTGTTCATCTCAAACATCCACAAATGACAGAAAAGCAAACAAATCACACGTTCAGATTGTTTTCCTCAGGTTCTGAATCTATTCTGATGTGTGCCAAGATATACCTTCAATATTTGGCACCGAGAGTCTATCTGAACACAATTTTATCAGCAGAAAAGTCCAAATAATTCTAAAAACCTTTAGCCATTAAAAACCATCATGTTTTCATTTACTCTCCTAACATGCAGTTTGATTATTCCAAAGTCATTTGGGGTTTGCAAGAAGGTGACTTACAATGGTACAAAATGAAGCTTATATGCAAACTGGTTAAGGATTCAAAGCACATTAGCTCTGAAATATTAATCTTAACACCCAGACAAAAATAGGGAGGTATGATTTGCACAAAAATACTTTAAATTATTTTGGTTATGTTCTTCATGATCTTCCACGTGTTTAGCTGCTTGCGGTGCATGCATGCATCCTCTTTGCTATGTCGTAAACATAGGTGATGTCTGGTCGCTTCTCAGGATCGGGGTTGATGCACATATTAACTAGCTGTCGTAGCTGCACAGAAAGAAAAACAACAACACATGCTTAAGAAAACTATTTCAGGTAGTTATTTAAAAAAAAAAAAAAAGAAGAAATTCTGAACAGCTATAGATTTATATTTAAAAAAAAAAAAAAGAAGAAATTCTGATCAGCTATAGATTTACTAGGAAAGTGTATTTTCTGCCTAAGTATTCATTTGACTAGAAATATGTAAAACTGCTGCAAATGATTTTACAACTGGTCAAAACTTCTAAGAAGGATAGTCACTGGAGTATTAATGTCAAGCAAGCAGTACTTTTCACAATCAGAGGCTTTTAAAGGCTTTCATATGGACTCCAATATTTTTCAGACGTTTAATCAGAAGATACGAGTCACTAACAACAATGGGCTTGGCTCCAAGTGACTGCAGATATACATCCATTTATTTGACCTAAAACTTACTACATTAGCCTTGATTGTAGGTTGAAATTTTCATAATTACCATATATCTAAATTTACATAGGGCATTCAAGGTAGACTGCTATCATATACACTTATCATGAACCACATTTATATAAATATACACAAAAACATTTTGTATTAGAGAAAAAGTACTCCTCTCTAAGAATAATAAATTACAAATGAAGTGAGTTATAAATATTATTCTAATCCTCAACTGTGTGAAGTAGTAGTAATGTCTTCACTTTATAGATGAGAGTTAAGGTTTACTTATTTATATCACAGGAAAAAAGCTCATCTCAATAAATACAAAAATATCCTATCTGGTTCTAGAACCACTGAGTAGAAGAACACAGGATTTAATTTTCAATTCTAATTGCCATCAGTTTATGAAACTATGTGTCTTCGTAACATTGCGTACAATATTTCATAGACAACAACCCAGATCAAGAGGATGGGACGTGTAAGGCTGTCTTTAAGAATAATTTTGCAAACTTGCATTAACTCTTTCAGGCCAGTAGAGTATCACTTAGCAAACTGTCAAGTTATCATAATCTTTTCATAGTCCTTAACATCTCCCAGAAAACAGTTTTCAATTAGAGGAAGTAGGAGTGGTGATAAAATTTGTGGGATGGTACTGCTAGTAGTGCTGTAGGGAAGGCTAACACCAGGGAGAGATGTCATTCCGGAAGAAGACATGTAAAGGAGCCCGCCAGACAAGGGATCAGGGTTCAGTGAAAAGACAGTATAGTATGTGGAAACCAGCATTGCTGAAGACGATCCACAGCCCTGTGTCCATAGATAAGTCACTGTATTTGGAGCTTTATTACTCCATTACGCAGGGAGGTTGGAGTAGATGACTCATAAGGGCTCTTCTAGCTCTCAGTCCTTAAATTATACGATTCTAGCAGAAAGAAGTTTAATCATCCAATTCCCTCACATTTGGAAATTCAACAACATTGGATGATAATGTTACACACACTGAGAGGGCCTGAAGATTTCAACTCATATTCCTCGCAAAAGAGCAGAGAATAGCATTAAAAACCCATAAGGGGTATAATGATACACAAGACTTTTTTTTAATAACGATTTAAGAGAAATTTAAATACGAAAGATGCTGGCATTTTACCAATAAACATGAAAAAAATTTTACATACAATAGAAAAAACAGTAGGAAAAGCATTTATATGATGTTTATATTTAAAAAGATAATGTGTTCTAACAGGTCACCTAGCTGTCATACATTTTGTCTAGGGACAAAAATGATAAAGAAAGCAGACAGAATGACAGGAAAAGATAATTGTACAAAAATTCATTATAGTTTAACCAAAATACAAGTAGATGCAATAGCAATTTTTTGACTGAACAAAACTGCTGCATCCTTCAAGCTGGTCCAGAAACGTTACTTTTTCTGCCTAATATTTTGGAATATCTTGGAATACAGTGAAATTTCTGACATACTGATACTAAATGATACGCCCTGAAGTTCACTGGGCATGAGGAGAAACCACCCAAGAACAGAGATAGAATGATGCAAGTTTAGCTGAAGAACAGAGATTCTCTAGCTCCCCAAAGTACAAGATGAGAACCAGGAACAATCAAAAGGGGGGAGCGATAAAGAACGAGGTAAGTGGGGGATACCGGGAGCAGCAGTGAGCAGTTGCTCAAGGATGGCCTTGACAAGGGGGTGGCAGGTCAACCAGAAACTCTACAGTAGGCAGAGCCAAAACAAGGCAGTGTTTCCTTTCCCCTCACCATTCAGGTGGTTCACTCTCTACCAAGTATGAAATTTACCTTGTCATATTTTTCTTTCCCAGAGGAATTATTAACAGAGGGATCACGGTACAAAATCAGATACGTGAGATAGAGGAGATGCATACTTCAGCATACTTATGAATAAAATAATCTGTCGATATAAATTTTCCCTATTTGTTATATAATAAACAAGTCAGTAAAATACATAAAGAAAACCCTATAAAATGAAAATATGCTTCAGCAGGGACTCTCACTCATGTCTGCACCAAAATTTCTGGAGGAGCTGCTCTGCAAGAGACACCACGCTGGTGACACTTGAGGACACTGAGTGTAAGTCAGGCAAAGAAAAAGCTGTTCTGCAATCCAAATGTTATATCTGATGAGCTCCGCTTCCCACAAAGGCTAGCTGCAACCTTCACTACTCTGTGGGCAGTGTCCTCCCCAACTTCCTCCCGCACATCATGTGGCCCCCTACTTCATGAGAAAAATCAAGACTATTTGGCTTAAGCTTCCTCAGTATCCTGCCCCAACCCGTTCAAACTTATCTGTATCTGAGCCTTCTCATTTTCATTCTTCTAGCATCAGAGGAATAATTCTTTTTCTTCTACTCTCAATTCTATCACTGGAATCTCTTCTGCAATCTGAATCTTTTTACATTCAGTGTCTGGGACATAGTTGGCTCTCAATGAATATTTAACAAGTGAATGGCGCATTGGTTATTCCCTTTCTGTATTTTCAATCTCTCCCTCATTTGCTGATTCCTTCACTATAGTCTTTAAATAGAGTTAAGTCTCTCTCATATTAAAAACCAACCAACCAAAACGTATAGAACTCCTCTTAACTACTGCCTTATCTCATTTATTTGCTTTACAGCCAAACTGCAGAGACAAACTGAAAATGGCATTATGTTTAGTAAAACAGATGGTCAGCAAAAATGGGGGAAACCCTTGATAAGATGGACTGACAACACAACCACAACAATGAACTCAAACCTGCGAATGATTATGAAGATGGCACAGCACTGGGTAACGTTTTGTTTTGTTGTACGCAGAGTCTCTATGAGTTGCAGCCAACTCAATGGCAACTAACAGCAGCCAAATTTCTTGAGGATGAAAAAAGCTGTACTTACTATATCAAGTTTTCCTCAATCTACTCACTTAAGCCCACTACAATCACTTTTTCATCTCCCTCCAAATAGTGCTTCACTGAAACTACTTTGTCAAAGGTCAGCAGTACACCCTACTTGCTAAATATAATGTACTCTTTTCTGTGTATCTCTTACTCAGCCTTTCTGCAGTGGCTGACACTGCTGATCCACCCTTCTTGGAAGTCTCCCTCCTTTGGTTTTCACGGCACTATTCCCTGTTGGTTCTTCTCCAACTTCTCCTTCTTAGTTTCCTTTTAGGTTCATCACCTTCCTCTGGCAACCCCTGAAATGTTGGCATACCCCAAAGTTCTGTCCTTTCCTTAGCTTTTCTTCTTGTCACTCTACCTTCTTATCCTAAGCAACTTCATTTACTCCCATGGCTTCAAGAGCCACCGACATTCTGAGGAACAAACGTGTATCTTTAGTCCAGACCTCTCTGCAGCCTCCATTCACGTATCTCCAACTGCCTGCTGAGCATATCTACCTGGAAGTCCCACCAATACCTCAAATTAAACGTTTAAGACCAAGATTTTACTGTTTTTTCTCCTCAAACCGGTTCTTCCTATTTTGGACAGCACCTCCAACTCTCAAGTCAGAAGTCTGAGCTTTGTACCAGATCCCTCACCACACTTCCTCTCCACGTGCCTAACAATCAGCGACGAAGTCCTATTGTTTCCAAACTGCTAATAAATCTTGTATTTGCTTTTGCCATACAATCTCCACTGCTACACTCTTGGAGTAGTCTTCCAACTGATCATTTTGCCTCCAGTTTTCTTCCAACCTCTCCAGCACTGCCTAAGCACCAAGTTGACTGCTTCAAGTATTTCAATGACTCCTTATTAAAGTCTAAGGCCCTTAGCCTGGTATCTTACAGGCTCTAAATCTCTGGCTCCTGCTTACCTCATACTTAGGCCCCAAGTCTTCCTGCTCACCCCCTCAGCAGCAAACTACACTTTAACTAAATGAAGCACTTACAGTTCTATGCTCACCTAGCTTTTTTATGCTCCTACAACATCTTCGTTTATGCTACTCCTCTACTATGTCTCCTTCCATCCTTACTCTCTTGCCTGTCTAATTGTTGTCTATTCATCTCACTGCACATCTCTTCTCCAATTCCTTTCCTAAATATCCTATTCCCACACAGAACTTATTACTTTACACTTGGCCTGTTGCACTTCCTTTAATGTCTATGTTGTCCTACTGAACCGCAAGATGTGGAGTGTGAACAATGGGGGGACACAAAGCGCTCACTGGATTGTTGAATGATTGGAAGAATGAATGTGTAACTTTGGGCTTAGGGAGAAAGGGAAGGTTTTGTGCAGGTGGCATTTAAGCTGCGTCTGAAGCACAAACAGAATTTTAATATATAAAAGGGATGCAGAGTATCCCAAGCAGAGGTTAAGAGAATAAACAAAGATGCTGGGCCAAAGAGAGCACAAGAAATGTGAAGGTGATGGCAAGTACATCTGAATGACTGGGGAGCAAAGGGTTGAAATGATAAGCTGAAGCCAAATAGAAGAAAGACTTCAGGAGTTTAGAATCTCTTCGGATAGGCAATGGGAAATCGGTATTTAAGCAGGGAGGGCAAGATCATTAGAGCTGTGCTTCAGTACGTATCTTCTTGGTACAGTCTAAGATGGATCAAAAAGACAGCAACACCAACAGAACACTCAGT